AAGTTGTGATCGAAAGCTCGAGTGTTTAAATAAATTCAGAAGAATTTTATTATGATTTTCATAGCAGTATTATACTTTATATTTAAAACTTTATTTCCAACTGCTCATTCAAATAATTTTTTCAACAGTTTATGTTTCTGAAGTTTCTTTCTACATGTCTATGCATGTAGAAGGAAAAAACTAATCTTAAAGGGCCGGAAACGGTTTCTGCTAGAAAATGACACAATGTGATTTTGAGTGAAAATGATCGGAAATACTTCTCTTTTCATTTCCCAATTCATTTTTTCGCACCAGTTCAACAAGAGTCCGCTCGATGAAAAATTCAGCGTCTAAAAAATGGAGAGCTAAAATAAAGATTCTGTTTCTCCGCCAAGACGCGTGATGGAAGAGGGATTTTTTTCATCCTATGTACTCCATTGCACAATCTATCCGATAATGCGACCAGATCGTTTTTACCTCGGACCTTCAGCCCGACACCGAAAGTCTTCTGATGATCTTAGAGGTTTATATTGTTTGACGCCGTTCTAGAGCGTATGGCTTTAGTATAAAATGAGATGCACTTTTCCATAGACATTCAAGTGTGGACTATCCGAACCCGGTCTCAAAAGTTTGGAGTCTTTTAAGAATCTCTGGAAAACCTATGAGGGTTTCGGAAAACCCCTTAAGTTTACCGAAAACGCTTTTAAATTACATAATTGGAAAGAGCACAAAATTTTGAACAAATGAGATATTGTTCATAATTTACCTTAAGCAATTACTTAAAAAGGTGAGAAAATAACAGATGTTCCAGCAAAAATGGTTTACTATAAAAACCTAAATTTTAGCTTGTCGAATTTATGGCTTAGAAAAACTAGAAATCTAGCAGTGATACCTCATTTTATATTGGTATTTTGTAACCCAATATATTGTATTGGTGCATCTTTGTATATATTTTTTGTAAAGGGCTCACTATTTGTATTTTTCTCTAAGCCGTTAGCACTGAAAACCGGATTATACAGCTAATAAACTCACACACAGAAAAGGCAAATTTTAGAAAATTTTGTTCCTCCTGACTGATGCAAACAGAAATTTAAAAGTAATATCAGCTCTTAGTTTCCTGTTGTCGGTAGTTATCTACTTTACCGCATAAAGCTTGTTCACTTCAAGTAGGATTGTGGAACACCTCTCAATACCGGCAGGGGGGCGGCGGGCCGCGCGGCGGTGAAACACTCCAAATAACCCCCATAACCCCCCCCCCCCCATAATATAATAGAAGACCAGTGGTCTTCTAGTATATCCGCGAGAAAAATCGGAAAATGCCCCTCTATAGCAGAATTTTGAAAAAAATTCCCAAAACGTACTTCTAATAGGGAATGGACTTCAAGTACGGGGGGGTTACTCTTGAACTACTAGCAGGCAAGAAAATTTGACCGTAATAGAAGACCAGGTGGTCTTCTACTATGGGGATGGACGGGGAATGGGGGGTTAGTCTTCGAAGGAAGGAGAAGTGTAAGCTATGTACTCCAAATCGCAGTGTTTTTGGTGTTTTTTAAGCGGCAACGTCCCTATCGATAAACTCTTATAAACGATCTGCGCTAAAAGTCTTAAATTTGTCGTGCGCTTTGCTAAAAATCTCATATTTGTACTGTACCATTCACTAACAAACTCTTCGTTTTAGTACGCCCTGAGAATGATAGCTCTTAAAACCACGTAAAATTTGTTTTCATGAGGCAAGAGGAGGCCAAGTTGCGAACCCTTTTTGTGTATGGGCTTGCGTAATTAACCATTCTTGTACATTCTCTATTTTAAATCGATGTTTCATTGTTCGACTTTAAAAGAGCCTAGGGAGGTTTTAAATTAGCCTAAGCCAAACTAAAATCCGGCTACGCAGACATCAGAACTTTAATCTAGCTCAGACTAAATTATGCTAAAAGTTCAAGTTAGCCTAGGATAATTTAAAATCTGTTTGAATTTTAATATAGCCTACAAATATACTTATATATACGTTATAATATATTTCATGTAAGTGGAATAATTCACTTATGGTCATCAATTAATTATTCAATTTTTGTTGTAGTTTCGATATAATTGAGTAAACCATTATGTCATTACCAGATTATGCACTCGATTGTGGTGCTGTGTTAAATGAAACGTCGACTAATGTCGTGTGGCGTAAAGGTCCTCCCGATTACTCGAAAGCCAACACTTGTTTTGAAAAATATAAGAGTACAAATCATCAAGTGGGCTCATTAGAATCGATCGTACAAAATATCGTCAAAAATTGGGAGAAAGAAGTCTCACATAAGGTCGATCCAAACCAATGGCGCACAGTTGATTTGCCCAACTATTCATTCTCGTGTAATGGTGGTCAGAAGTATTCCGGCTACGAAATGTTGAAACAAGGCACGTATAATGCATTAATTGGTGAAACAACATATTACAATAGTGCAGCCATCTCATTTGAAGAGTCACACTTGGCATTCAAACGAGCACTTGGTGAAGGCTTTGGATGGGAATTGTTAGAATTGTATTCGGGACCGCCCGTTGTCTCATTTAAATGGAAACATTTTGGCCCTATGACAGACTACTTCTCGTGTCGTGGCCTGTCCGGTCTTATTTACAAAGCAGATCCCACGAAGAAAATGGTGAATATATTTGGTATGTGTATCGCTCGTGTCACTGAAGATTTGCGTATTCAAGATTTACAAGTATTCTATGATCCAAATCAGTTGTTTACACAACTGACAGAAATTTGTCCCTATGCTCCGTTTGCCAGGTTAAATGTTGAAGCATCAGACATTAAACCAATAATAAATTCTAATGCCCTGTTTGTTAAACAACAAGCTTTAGATCAACGCAATGGTTCATCGTGTACAAAAAAAAATGTACCGCGTGCAGGTTTTAGTAGTATCAAATCAAAATCACCGTCGTCGTTGGTCTGTACAATAAGTTAAAAAACATGTACTTACTGTCATTTTTTTTCCTTGACATCAAGAATAATAAAGTTAATGTATATATAGGAGAACATCTTTTGCTTTAGTATAGAAGGAAAAAATTGAATGAATACTTGTATTAATAAAATCTTCAGATGACTGTGTCGAAATGCGCATTCGCAGGAAATCAGTGTGCTTTATTTCGTTTCCTGGTATGATCAATAAGCATAATAGTGGAACTCTTCTCAAAGTGTACATAAGGGTGCTTTTGTGGAAACATTAAAAAGAATTTATCATTTCCTTGAATTTAATGAGAAAGCTCATATGCGTATTTGTAATAAAGCATACCACAAATTATTTGCTTAAAAAGCACGAAAAAAAGCCGACAGTAAATAAACTGAGATTACCACACGCACAGAATGAACAGGAAAAGTATCTCTAACATTTCCATTTGAGAATATTTCTTTCGGCAACAAATTCGCCTCTGGGTGATTTAACATATGGTGGAAGTGTGGCTAAATACACCGGAGTATCAGCAGCTAAAAAACAGAAAATATGCTTTTTTTTTCGCTGAAGTGGATAAACATTCTTTACTCTTCTTCATTTGTACAATTGTTTGCGTCATTTTTCCAGATGATTCTTTCTTAGTTCTTATTCTTATATATATCTGAACTGTTTCAGAGTTTTCTGTTCTGCCTTTTAATTTTCAGAGTAGGATCAACTATTAGTAGGATCCTATCCTTTTGTGTGTTTTCTGTATTCTTTGATCTTGTACTTTATTCGTTTTATTTATTATAATATATATTCACGCAAGTTCGTATTCTTATACAGTCAACATAGGATAGCGATTCCTCTCTCACAGCAGAGTTTGTTTAGCTTCTCTAGATTCCACTAGAGTGGCCACTGTAATCTCGGCTTAATCACAGAAGTGTGAGACCGAACTCATTCTCGTGATCATTAGCAAGTTTCAGCATCGGAGAACGTTCTTGAAAGTCTATGAATTTAGAAGAGTATACCTTACCCTGTTCGAGGGTTCCAGGTCCCTCCTGACTTGTCATATCTGTTTTGATGTAACCTGGACACATAGAATTCACCACAATATCGTTGTCTGGTTGATTATTGAACAAACGTTGTTGAATAAAAGTTGCTGCAGTTAAAGCAATTTTGGACATACCATACGCCGTTTTAGGATACCCAGTCTGTTGATGCAAATTTTGTTTAGCCTTTCTACAACAGAAACATGAAATGTCAAATGTGTTTGCTAACAGTCTTTTACTTACATAATAAAATCGTTTACAATATCTGCTATCAATTGTACTGTTGTATCACTGGATGCTAATAGCCTACGAATCTCCAAGTTTCTAATAGATTCAAGCATTCCAGCTCGACTGGAAACATTCACCACTCTACAAACAAACATTAAAATGTGAAAAAGAGATAAGAAAAGTGGTCAGCTTAGATGTGAAGGTGCAATTTCCATAACGGTTGCAGCTCAGAGCAGCAGTAAAGAGAAGATGAAGAGAAAATGTCTTTTTTTAATGCTTAGCGCAGAGTGTATGTTCGATAGCGCTTGAAATGAAAACTCTGTGCTTTTGCTGCCCTGAAACTTATTCATGGGCTAGAGGAATTCCACAACGGAAAACAAACCGAGCGTGTGGACGAAGTAATGGAAACAAAGCATTGCAAACATTCATTGTGCCAAAGAAATTTGTTCGAATTGTAATTTCTGCTTGTTCACCAAATGGAGTGGGATCGGCATTCTGAATGAAACAACAACGTTAGTTCTGTTCGACGTGCGTACCATACAGAATAACCTTGAAAGCAATTGCAGCATTATTAACTAGTACATCCAGCCCACCATGAGTTCTTTGAATGTGATCGGCGAAACGTTTAATACTTTCAACATTTGTTATATCCAATTGGTGGAATCTTAGTTTGTGTCTTGCTGTAGGATTTGTTGCCTGAAGTTGCTTCATAGCTCTCAAACCTAATTCTTCATTTCGAGCTAAAATAAAATCCCGAAGACAGGAATGGATCTAGTTTTTCAGAACTAAAACACTTCTTACCTGTTCTTACCTGCAACAATACCAAAACCAATGCCTTTATTCGATCCAGTGACCTTAACATACAAAAATACTCTTGTATAACTAGTTCACCACTGGACATATACTTATACTTACTACAGCTACTCTCTGCGACATTTCAATTTACTGTATACCGCAAATTCCTCTAAATTAAAAAGTTTTGGTTGTACATTGTGTTTTCTCGATAGAAAATGCAGTGTAGATTAAGAACAACTTCTAGCAAACTTAAATAACGGAATCAGTTGTTCTCCAAGACAGAATACACAGTTTGATAGTGCATAATACTTACTGTGTATATATCCCACAAAAAAAGTGAAAAGTAAGCATGACGTGGTAAGGTGGACAAAGAAACGTAAAAAGAAAAAATTTTGCTTTGTCATACTGAATACAGAACGAAAAAGTCTTGTGTCCTGACTTGTTTCTCTTTTTGTGTTTCGCTAAGTGATCTAAACGACACAAACTTAGAAAGAAAGATACTACTAACGCAATGAAAAATGGAATTTTCAGACAGTTTTAGACGTTGTGAAAAATGCCATTTAATGACTTATAATGATTGCAACTAAACTCATTTTTATTCCATTATTATGATTAACTGCGTAAAAACTGAGGTTTTCGAATCTAACGATTTATCTTCCGAGTTTAGTGAAAAAGCATATATGAAAACTACACAATAAATGATGTAATATGGTACGTCTAGTTTATGCTTTTATCGTCGTTTCATCTTTGTCTGGGCGATAACGTTGAGCAGTATAAAATTTCGTTGCTGCTTTTTCTATAGTATATTTCCTTTTCTTTTTTTCTTTTTTCAGCTGTCATAGCTTGACAGTCTTTGTCTAACATATTATAAACTTTCCTTTGACGTACATCTAGTGTATTATAGTTGTTTCGTATGGGGTAGTGCAGTTATATATATATGTCAGCGTCCGAACTGAGATTACGTTCAATCTCAGACTGGCCTAGGCGAACATCGCATCCGAGACTGGACGCGTCCATACTCGGATTCGACATTGGATGGACATTTATTCAGGCCATTCTCGGATAAAACATAGAACACACGTCTATTCTAAGATTGGACTGAAATAGTCAGACGAATCTAAGATTGGACTAGTGTATTGTCAGCCTGAAAGATAAGTGTGGCGAATCTCGGATTGACCTAGGCCAGTGTTGGAATGAATACACACTACTCAGAACTCAATGTCAAAGATCATGTTTGAAAGTTATACCCCTATCAAGCAAGTGAGATTTGAGCATAGTGAAACAACAAAATAGAGTGAACACAAACACTAGACAAAAATCAATAGAGGTGAATGTTGTTAATGTTCTTGATTTTCGCAACATATTACATCATCTTCAGCAATCTCTATCTATTTTTTCGTGTATTCTGTTTTATCCGAGAATGGCCTGAATGATAAATTTTTTCTTGTGAAAGATGTTATATTTATCTTAATAAAGGTGATGTCAGCCTTCCTGTCTATCGTTGCGGTTAAATGATCGAGAAACTCTAGAAACTAGGTCTAGGCAGGCCCCTTATCACTCAGGATGATATCACTCAACGAAGAGATAAGAGGGACCACAGTAACAAATACCTAATGAAACGCGAACGAGTGTGAAAGCCAATACCAGTGGTAATAGAAATATATTTGAAAAATGGAAAATGCGAACAACAGATCAGACCGACAGACTAAGAGATTCCATATATGACATGTGAAGAAAACAAAATTAGAACGAAAATGAACACACATATAATCTATACATGTGTGTGTAGTAAAAGGAAACTGAAAAAATAAAAAATAAAATAAACACAAAACAAAAACAATCTACGAAGAAGAAGATGAATGTATATATGCACGAAAGAAAAAGAAGCTGAGAGATAATAGGTTCTAACTAACCTTTTAAAGCAAACTAACTGTCGTCTGACTAGGTGAAAATAAAAGAAAGAAGGCTCGAAAGGATCTGAGAACGAGATTTGACTAGACCTCTATCTTTTAGATTCCAGTGGAGGATCCTTACAGGTGATAGTTCTTCTTGTGAACCAATAGGTGCTGTTAGCGTAGATTTTCGGATTCAGGAGGATCGATGAGAAACTGCCAGTGGAAAATTTTATCGAGAGTTAATAGAGCACGAAGCGGCTACGGAGTAGAAAGCTGACGGAGTGATCCCCGCGAAGTACATTTATGGAAACTTGGCTAGATACGGGACGATGACGAGGCAAGAAGTTTGCGAGGTAATCCCCGGAAGGGAGATAATCAGTTGTTATTCATTATGTGGTTTTTGATATATGTTTTCTTACTAAATTCTGACGATGAACCGTTAGATTCAAAGCATCGATTTTTACACAGTAATTATAATAGTGAAATAAAAATGAGTTTGGCCGCAATTACTACAAACCAAACAAGAAAGTACTTATTCGGAAAAGTTATCTTAAATATATGGAAATTTATCTTAAAGTTATCTTAAATATTATGGAAATTTAGTTATCTTAAATATATGGAAAAATTTTAAAAATCCAAAAGAGAAGGGAACTG